AACTGAATGTTGCCGATGGTGCGCTGCCATCTATAAAAAAAATATCTCTACAAACATTTATTTTTCACAGTTGGCCTTGAAGTATATACTTTCTCACCCTGAACCTTTTCTTCTTCTCTCTCTTTTTTTTTTTTTAAACTACCGCTTTATATTTTTTTAGAATCGTAGACACGGACGAAAGAAGTTTAAGAAAAAGTTATTGACACCACATGAGTTTAAAAAAAAAAAAAAAAAGAGGAAAAGGTACTACTTTTATTAGAAGGTGCACAAAGATTTATAAATTTATTTGATAATATTAAAATTAAAAAAAAAAAAAAAGGTAATAGCCTACAGCACCCGGTGTTCCCAGGTGGTCACCCTCCCAAGTACTGACCGGGCCCGACATTGCTTAACTTCGGTGATCGGACGAGAACCGGTGTTTTCAATGTGGTATGGCCGTAGGCACTAGGGTGACCTAATAAGTTGTTATTAAGCTTCAAGACACATGATATTTATATTAAAAACCTTTTGTGGGGATGTGCGAACAAAACCCAGAAAGTTAAAAATAGTAGAAAGCATTAGTCTCCAAAACTAAAACAATTTGTTTGCCCAATGTAATTTTGTCCAGGAAAAAAAAAAAAAAAGTGTTTAAATATTATTTTTGTAGAGAAAAAATCATTTCCCTATATATGCACACATTCTTCTCGGAGCAAACTAAATAAACGTTTAGTTTATTTTTGCTCCACTAGATGGCGCTCTGCCATCTAAAAAGCACATGTGCTCGTGGTCAGGAGATGCCTTCTTTATTTTTAATTCTTCTCTCAAGGGACAAAGCATTTTAAAGGGAGCGGTGCAACTTTTTGTACCTGGATACTTTCCTCTTGTAACTTTATGATATATAGGTTTTTAACTTTTAATTAGACAATTTTAATTTATATTTTGACATTTTTCAGTTTAATTTAGACATTTGTCATTTCAGTTTAGACACATGGCCTTATTATAGAAAAGTTGATGTGTCTAAATAAAAGTGCCTAAATTAAATAAAATCAAAAATGTCTAAATATAAATAAAAATTGTCTAATTATATAAAAGTTAAAAACCTATATATTTAGGTAAAACTCTTTATTAAGGCTTATGTCTAACGTGACTTTGTTATATATTTATATATATATATATTTATTATTTTTGATTAAAAGTTTTGAAAATACAACACAGTATCAAAGATATATAGTGGAACTCCTTTATTTTATAATGTCATAGTAGGTAAGTTTTAAACGAAGAAAACCTTGAAATATATGAAGTTGTTAACACAAAGCAATAACGCGCCATCTATACATATGTGTTAATTTATGCCTAACTGGCCTTGTCTTTATTGTTTGCAGAAGAGCATTGCTCGATGCAAAAATTATAATGTAATTCTACTGTCCTATAAGCTTATGTCCATAGTTTTCTTGAAAACCATTTCTGAGATTATATCCTTCAGTGCTGCGTATATAAGCAGAATCGTCCAATACAGTATTAGAGCTCTGAGAAGCGGTCTGGTGGATTAAATTGGCGAAACCGCTGGGAGGGTTCACCACTGATGAGCCAAGCCCTCCCAATATATTTTTTCTTCGCAGTAAGGGCAGTAGAGGTTTGTATTATGTATAAAAGAAACATTCGTGCTTTTAAATCCTTTCATTTTATATGAAGTTGTGTCCACAGATTTGAAATGACTTTGTCAAAAAAAGAAAATGAGAGATATTTACTATAGTGTAGACTAAAAGTGATACTGCAGAGTCTCTCTTGAGAGACCCTCCTAAAACATTGCAGAACTTGTGAGAAAAAAATATAATTTATTGTTGTTCTTTCTAAGTAATGATAATATATTGTATAGTGTATTCATTATATAAATATACCTTTTCACTTATTTCATATCTTTCTTCAAAGCTTGGTAATGATTGTTGTTGTTGTCGTGTCCAAAGAAGAGTGTCAGATGTCTCCATGCATCTCCATCACAGCAGCAGCAATATCCACTATCTTGGGTGTGTAAAGCTGCTGCTGAGGGTCTAAGTCAAATTTCTGCAAGGCTGCGGCCATTGCTGGGCATGAGAATATGTGAGTAGGTGTTAGTTCCACACCAGGACAGTTGTTGCATGCTTTATAGGTTCTTGTGCCATCTGGATGTATTGCCATTCCTTTATTGTGTTTTGTTCTAAGACTTGTTATAGTTTGTGTCAGTTTTCTCTCAGAGTTTATTTCACATATTTGATCTTTTCTTATTTTTTTTTTTTGTTTGATTATCTTGTATTTTGCCAAAGCATCAGCGTCAAATACTGACATTTGTTCTTTCCTTTGGCTCAGCTTTCTGGCTTCTTTTGCCAATTCATCTGCCATTTCATTACCCTCGATCCCAACATGGGCAGGAATCCATTGTAGAATGCGGTTCTTCTCCAATGTTTCCAGTTGGGGAAGTAATGAGTGTATTTTCTGCGTGATTCCAGTATTGCCCTTCTGAATTGCTTCTAGAGCGGATCTGGAGTCGCTGTATATTATAATTCCTTCTGCTTGATGCAGGGATGGTTGTTTCAGGCATACATCAAGGGCTTTCCAGATAGCTGTCAGTTCACAAGTGAAGTTTGACGAAATATTTCCTGCTCATTCTTTGATTTTGATGTATGTTCCATCTTGCAGTATTATGTTAACGCCGGCCCCTCCATTACTCAGGATTTCAATGAGGATTTCTCTAATTTTTATTTATAAATTAGCCCTCGGCTTAGAGGGCTTCAAAAATTGCTAAATGCTCATTTAGAGCGCTCCCCTCCACGGTAATCTTTAGTAAAAGGCGAAAGATTAATGCGTGACTGAAGAGAAGCCAGAGCGTTGCGTTTCGGCCTGAAAAGACCTAGTCCAAACGCATTTTGCAGAGTAGCAAAATGGTGATTGGAGTTTCCTTTTGAAAAATGGCATATAAAAAATATGCCTTAGCCACTATATATCTGTTTTTAATTTATATAAAAAGGCGAACGCAGCTCCCCGCTACCAAAAATTTCGCACCCCAGCTATCCCGATTTGGGAAAGGTGGTCAGGGTCAGCCATTCCAAAGTGCAATGGAAAGGCCTCTCCTGAGGGCACGGGAATCTTGAGCTCCGTGACACCGATGCCAGGTAAGTATGCCGTTTCGCTCTAAAAGGTCTATTCCTAACACATTTTTATAAAACGCCAATATGGTGTTTGGCAGTCATTTCAAAAATATATTCTTTTTTTTTTTTTTTTTTTTGAAAAATATTTTGACAAAGGGAGAAGTTTTGAGACTTTATAACAAGTGAATAATATAGATATTCAATGAGGATTTCTCTAATTTTTGTTTATAGTTTTGGGACTTTATAACAAGTGAATAATATAGATATTCAATGAGGATTTCTCTAATTTTATTTATAAACCCCCGGGCGGGTAAGCGGAGGTGTTGACGGCGGGCGAAGCGGCGGTGGTGGCGGCGACGGAGAAGCGGCGGCATGGCCGGGCTGGTAAGCCACGGTGGTGGCGGCGGTATAGGCGGGCGGGTGGTGATGGTGGGCGAGGCGGCGGTGGCGGCGGGCGAAGCGGCGGCATGGGCGGGCGGGTAAACCGCGGTGGTGGCGGCGGTATAGGCGGGCGGTGGTGACGGCGGTAAAGGCGGGCGGTGGTGGCGGCGGCATGGGCGGGCGGGTGGGTACGCGGTGGTATAGGTGGGCGGGTAAGCTTTTCTTCATAAGCTGATTAAAATAATCTCTCAAATCGCGCATCTATTTTCCCTCACCACACGCTCGAAATAAACAAAAAAAAAAAATAATAATAATCGAATTCACCTTTCTAGGTATACCCACTAGCCATTGATATTTTAGCGCCTTTTTTTGTAAATCTCAAAAATTTTAATTTCTCTCTCTCTCTCTCTCTTTTATCATAAGATGGCTAATAGACTCTTGCCAGTATTGTGAAGTAAAATGACACATATTTTATTAATCATATCTATTTGTATTTAAATGCGGGGTAAAAATAATTTACCGCTGTCTCACTTTAAATTACATAGACCTAGAATTTAGTACCCATCTCTAGCCATGTTTAATAAATTGGAGCAAGTTTTTAGCATTAAAAGACAATAGAACATTAAAAAAAACCTTGATAAAAGTTTTCCTTTCGCGTTATACCTACAACAACAACAACAAAAAAAAAACAAAAAACAATTCTAGGTATACCCCCTCGTCTCTAACACCGCGGTTTCAATAAAGGTTTTTGTTCGCGTTATACCTACCACAAGTTAAAAAAAAAAAAATCGCATTCTAGTTATACCTCCTCGTCTCTAACTCCGCCGTTTCAATAAAATGTTTTTGTTCGCGTTATACCTACCACAAGTTAAAAAAATATTCCCATTCTAGTTATACCTACACGTCTATCTCCGCCAGCATATGTTCCAAAACTTCATTTTCAGCCTTTTATTTTCAATATTAATTTTAAAAAAAGTATAGAATTTATCAATAAATAGTATAAATATCGTAGACTGATTATTAGTTTATAAATAATCAACATCTTTCGCTTAATATCCCCCCTGATATCTGTTCATGCCCAAAAGTACCCCCTATCATCTGTTCAGGTTTTTTCGTTTCACCTATTATGGTAGTGAGCAGTGTGCTCATGCAAGTCAAGGAGCTGAGGCTTTGGCTGTCTAGGTAGCGTGCGGGGACGCGTTTTGGAGCGTACGTGGCCCCATCGTTAAGCGCACCCTTTGGCATTACCAATGGCGTTCCTCGTTGGCTTACCGAGCGATTATTAACCTGTAGAAAGCGGTTATTTTACAGTGCGGTCGCGGGAGGCGTACCGGCTGGGTTGTGCGAACTCGCGTCTGGACGGATGCGTGGAAAGTGCCCGGACCAGTGGGTGTCGGCCTTTCCGGCGGAGGGGGTCAAGGGTGCGGTGGCCGCCACGGAGAGGCGGGCGCTGCGTCCCTAAGCGTGGTCCCGGCGAGGCGGCCCGAGGGCGTCTCGCGGCGGGGACTGGCGAAGGATACCTGGTTGATCCTGCCAGTAGTCATATGCTTGTCTCAAAGATTAAGCCATGCATGTCTAAGTACACGCCCTAGCAAGGCGAAACCGCGAATGGCTCATTAAATCAGTTATGGTTCCTTAGATCGTACACATTTACTTGGATAACTGTGGTAATTCTAGAGCTAATACATGCAATTGAGCCCTCGTCCCTTTTAGGGTGAGGGTGCTTTTATTAGACCAAGACCAAACGGGGGCAACTCCGATAGTCGTGGTGACTCTGAATAACTATGGCGGATCGCACAGTCCTAGCACTGGCGACGCATCTTTCAAGTGTCTGCCTTATCAACTTTCGATGGTAGGTTATGCGCCTACCATGGTTGTTACGGGTAACGGGGAATCAGGGTTCGATTCCGGAGAGGGAGCCTGAGAAACGGCTACCACATCCAAGGAAGGCAGCAGGCGCGCAAATTACCCACTCCCGGCACGGGGAGGTAGTGACGAAAAATAACAATACGGGACTCTAACGAGGCTCCGTAATTGGAATGAGTACACTCTAAACCTTTTAACGAGGATCTATTGGAGGGCAAGTCTAGTGCCAGCAGCCGCGGTAACTCTAGCTCCAATAGCGTATATTAAAGTTGTTGCGGTTAAAAAGCTCGTAGTTGGATCTCAGTCGCCCTCCCTTCGATGCGTTGCAAAGCGTCTATCGTTGGGGCCGACAGCACGTTGGTGGGCCCGGTTGGCTTTTACCGGTTGATCGGGTTCTCCGGCAATTTTACTTTGAAAAAATTAGGGTGCTCAAAGCAGGCTGGTGCCTGGATATTGGTGCATGGAATAATGGAATAGGACCTCGGTTCTATTTTGTTGGTTTTTCGGATCCCGAGGTAATGATTGAGAGGGACAGACGGGGGCATTCGTATTGCGGCGCTAGAGGTGAAATTCTTGGACCGCTGCAAGACGAACTACTGCGAAAGCATTTGCCAAGAATGTTTTCATTAATCAAGAACGAAAGTTAGAGGTTCGAAGGCGATCAGATACCGCCCTAGTTCTAACCATAAAACGATGCCAACCCGGCCCGGACACCGGAAGGATTGACAGATTGATAGCTCTTTCTTGATTCGGTGGGTGGTGGTGCATGGCCGTTCTTAGTTGGTGGAGCGATTTGTCTGGTTAATTCCGATAACGAACGAGACTCTAGCCTACTAAATAGACCCACGGTCCCTTTGTACCGTGAGCGGGTCTTCTTAGAGGGACAGGCGGCTTTTAGCCGCACGAAACAGAGCAATAACAGGTCTGTGATGCCCTTAGATGTCCGGGGCCGCACGCGCGCTACACTGAAGGAATCAGCATGTGTCTACCCTTGTCCGAAAGGACCGGGTAACCCTCTGAACCTCCTTCGTGATGGGGATAGGGGATTGTAATTATTCCCCTCGAACGAGGAATTCCCAGTAAGCGCGAGTCATCAGCTCGCGTTGATTACGTCCCTGCCCTTTGTGCACACCGCCCGTCGCTACTACAGATTGAATGGTTTAGTGAGGTCTTCGGACTGGTTCATTGATCAGTTTCGGCTGTTATTTGAGCCGGGAAGATGATCAAACTTGGCCATTTAGAGGAAGTAAAAGTCGTAACAAGGTTGCCGTAGGTGAACCTGCGGCAGGATCATTACCGTTCCGTGCGTCGGCCGAATGGTTCTGGATCCTGATATGGATCGGGGTGGAAAATTGGGGGCGAGGCCTCGCGGTCAGAGCCGCGGCGGTTTTCGCCCCGGGCCCGCGGGAGCGCGCGGGCCGACGAGCTGTTGGCGGTGCCTAGAGCATCGTCCTTCCTCCTGGAGCGTGGAGGTGGGGCGTGCGTGTGACCTCCTTGGAGCGTTGGGAGGTCGCTAGGTCTAACGAGGGGGACTGGAGCCCGATCTCCCCGCCGTCGTCCGGGTGGAGCCTCTTTAGGGCGGGTGTGTGGCGCAGCCGAGAGCGCGCTGTCCCCGTCCGGCCCGGGCACCCTTATTTAAAAAAATAACCTACCTTCTCTTTGTACCCCGCAAAGTCCAACTTGGAGCGTCGGAAAGCCGAGGGCGCTGCCGCCGATACGGAGAGTCGGCGACAAAACTCTCGCACACGTCCGCACAACTTTGTACAACTCTGAACGGTGGATCACTCGGTTCTCGGGTCGATGAAGGACGCAGCGAGCTGCGTTAAGTGGTGTGAATTGCAGACATTTTGAGCACTAAAGCTCCGAATGGACATTCCGGACTCGAGATTCCCGTCTCGGGTCCGTGTCCATCCGAGGGTCGTATGCAACTCCGAGGGAGAGATCGTCTGGTCGACGCTATGAGCGGCGTCCCGGGTCTCGCCTCCTTGACCGTTTCCCGCCAGGGTCGGTTTAAATTTGCGGTTCGAAAGCCCGCGGGAGCTCGGACGGGTCCCCCTGTTTCACGGATCTCGTGGTGGTCTGTGGGAGCGATATAACGGAGGGATCATCGTCTTTGGCGGGTTTGGAGCGAAACGAACCGCGCGCGTCGGGAGAGTGGCGCGCTAGATTTTACCACAACTATCGACCTCGGATTGGGCAAGGCAACCCGCTGAATTTAAGCATATAAATAAGCGGAGGAAAAGAAACCAACAGGAATTCCCCTAGTAACGGCGAGCGAACGGGGAAGAGCCCATAGCCGAAGCGCGTCAACCGCGCAATGTGGCGTATGGGAGTCGGCATTTCTCCGAGTGCGACCGGCGGTGCAAGTCCTCATGAGAGAGGCACTTCACCGGAGCGGGTGCTAGTCCCGTACCGCCGCTGGTCCGCGCGCGGAGTGCCGTTCTCCCGGGAGTCGGGTTGCTTTGGGAGTGCAGCCCAAATTGGCAGGTAAACCCCTGCTAAGGCTAAATATCCCCGAGAGACCGATAGCAAACAAGTACCATGAGGGAAAGTTGAAAAGCACTTTGAAGAGAGAGTTTATTAATTGAAAGTGATAAGGTACTATTTGTATTATAGATTAAAAACATAAAGGTAATAAGACAAATCCAAATAAATAAATAGTGTGTGATGTTTCGGTAACAGCGTTGTTACCATCTTCAGACAAAAGTACTGAATGTACGAAAAAGACGAAACGTCACACACTATTTATTTATTGGATTTGGTCTTATTACCTTGTGTTTATTTCAGTTCTTACTCTGTGCTTACAGAGTACACTACTGGGTTAAAAAATAATACAAATCAGAAAGTGCAGCGGTGAGCAAGACAATGACACCATGATTAAGGTAGAGTCAAGATAAGGTAAGGAGACAAATATCCCTGGTCTACTGCGATACAGCCAACATGAGCTATGATAATTCTATATACAGTTACGAGTGTCATGCATTCTTCATCTCTGTCACCGTTTGCTTTTTTTTTTGGAATGGCGCTCTCCTATTGGTTGGCTACGATCACGCCACCTTTGCCCCCCCCCCCCCCCCACTCGCTTTGTCGTTTTTGTAACTATTGTGTTGGAGCGGGTCGCTCCTTAAATAAATGCATATATTAGTTAATAACCAAATGGAATCCTCTCTTTCTTTTTCCCAGTAAAAGACGCCTACGGAAGCCAACAGTACATAGACAGATAAAGCACATAGGCTATAGTTATTAACTAATATATGCATACATTTAAGGCGCCAATTTATAATTGTAACAAATAGTATTTGAAACAAAACATTCAATCGGGGTAAAACACGGGCGTTGTCATTCGGCTAGTGATATATATCAGCATGCCATCTGTTATTATAAATTTAAATTTGAACTATTTTTTGATGCATATGTTTTAAAAAATACAACAATCTTAGAATAATGTCTATAACCACTAAGCCAGTTGGTTTTGACAGAGCTGGTGTTTGGTTTGGTGAAGCTCTATTCATTTCTGATACACTCAGTCTAAGAGTAGCCAAACATTTGAAGGAGTGATGCTGTGTGGAGGCCTTAGACCATAATGGCCGATTAGCTAAGAACAAGTCGCAGCTGTGTGGAGGCTACAAGGATTTCCTTGGTCTTCCATGCCAGTGATCCAAAAAGAAAATTGTGTTGTGGCTTTATAGAACCTGATTTTTGTAGGTACAGTAGAACCCCTCTGTGAGCGCACCCAGTTGCAGACCCAGTGTCCTGTAAATAGAGGTGTCTTTTTACTGGAGAGTTACTAATTAGTAAAAATGGTGATGATAAGATATTTGGATTATAGATTATAAACACAAGGTGATGTTGATGATGAAAACTGTCCTTTGTGTGTAGAGAGGTGTCCTGTAGTGGGCATGTCATTTCATGGAGGTTGTACGGTACCATGCCTTTCTCATGGCAATGAGAGGACAGATTATAGACCTTACAGATGATTGCTTACAAAATTACCACTGCTAACAGTTGAAGCTTTAGGCCTGAAACTGGACTATTTCAATAGATACTGTGGGAACTCTCTGTTGGGAACCTTGTTGATTGCTCTTTAGAATCCTTCAAATTTCTAGCATGGTCTTTGTATTGCTGTGAGTGCAAAAAATATAGATTAGGATGTGACACATGTCTCCAGAGGTTCCCACATAAAGGAACCCTCCCTATCAAGTACACAATATAAGAGAACTGACCAGGGAGCTCGTGGCCAGCAACCAGAGTGTCCAAGGGCTGGGTACAGGTGCACTTTATTTGCCATGGAAGATGGGGGTTGCTCCGCAGGTGGATCTTCAGCATCTTGCTAATAACTAAGATATCTTTGGGGGGAAGGATAGTCTTGGCCATCAGGTCAAAGGTCCCAAAGCAATTTCCAGGGCACAGCTGTTGGGGACAGGGCCCTGGAGTGGAGCAAAAGGATCTGCTAAAGAAAACCCTACGTTTTGAAATGTGGCGATTCCATGAGTATTGAAAGGCTTTGGATTTTGAGGTGAAGTAAAATTGAGTGCATTGCTCAGTACAAGTGCCACTGTGGCTTCAGGAACGTGAAGGACTGGGTTGTTATACTTGTCCACCAGCTGAAACTTGAGAGAGGGGAACAGCACAGAGTCCTGGACTGCTGTCAGGTTTCGGTGTGAATGGAGCAGATGTGATGGGGGTCCGGGTTCCACCCTCACTCGAAGGAACTGTTTGATGGAGCCATACTGGAACCACAACTTCCTATAGCCAGCATTTTGGCTTGTAAAGCTAATGTCCCGCACTTGGAACTGGAATCCCTGGAAACATTACATCAAGTATAATAGAGGAAAAGTAGGCCTATATATATAGTATTCTCCCCTGAGCTCATGGCTAATCCAGTCTCTAATGCTGGTGGTCTCTCATTGGTCATGTCAGGCAAGGTGTCAATCCAAACATTGTAGGTGTTTTTTCCACCATCTCAACTATGTAACCTATATACATTAAAATGGTAAACATTTTAAAATTAAAAATATAGTTGTGAAATGAAAAATTATAAAATTTATCAATTATACTTGAAAATAAATGTTAATTTATCTTTACACAGCTGTTTGAAAAAAATCTGGTTTGTTTTCAGAGCTAAAGATCTTTGTGAATTTATCTTCTGTAGCTATTTAAATTGAAAATTTTGAATAAATCCTTGCTCTAATGAGTAGCCCTTACTTTTAGTATGTTGGAGGACAAATAATATAAATTTTATATTAACCATGTGTGTGTTTGTAAGTTGTGTGTGTGGCTTGATAGAGTCTCCTATTTAAGACTTCATTTTATCATTAAATGTGTTTGTTGGGATTTTAAAAATGTTAAGCCGTCCAAGCTTTTTTATTTGAAAAAATAACAAAACATATAGCTACAAGAAATTAAGATCTAATTCAAATAAATTAATCCATTATCAGACAATGATGATGGTAACAATGCTGTTACCGAAATGTCACACACTATTAATTTATTTGGATTAGGTCTTAATTTCTTGTATCTATGATCCAAATTGTACCCCATCACAAAATGAAAACCTCTTAATTCATCTCTCATCACCTGGAGTAATAGTTACTTGTCTCCTGAAAGACTGGTTCAAAAGTTGATATAATTTTTGGAACTTCAACACCAAGGTTTTCTCCTATACTGCTTGATTAAACGAGCACCTTTTACCAATTATGTTTCCAAATTTAATGTTAAAGCGTTTTTAACTTTTAATTTGAAAAATGTAAAAGTTTTGACCTCATTTTGCCAAATAAATTAGCTAAATAAGGATCTTGAGGCTCCGAGATTTGGATTGCTTATCTATAAACCATTTGGAAATTGACACATTTTTCATGATAAGGAACAATTTGGGCTATAGATTATAGACACAAGGTAATAAGACTCTGCTTTTCACATGTGTAGACATGTGGTGCACTTGCAGTGAAAGCAGTTGCCTACTTCTACCCATCATGATTATCATGGCCTGTACTCCGTGTACTAGAGATAGGCAAAAGAAGAAAAAAAAAGGGTAATAAGACTGCTCTGCCTTTTTCTTTGTTCTTAATTTTAGATGCATGCAGTTAAAAATCCTTAAGGAAATTCCAAATATATATAAAACCTTAAAAACATAATTATAAAAGACAATTTACCTCTATTGTGTTTACATTTGATGTATTTACATGGATACTCCGCCTTTGCCAGTCCCAAGCCCGGATGAAAAAGGAGGAGGGGGAGCAGTAATAAGCTCACTAAAAAACCTGGGCTCAGCTGGCCCAGCTGATAGTACCCTGTAA